ATGTAGATAAATCTTGAAGCCTTTAACTAATTTTAAAAAGTTTAGTAAATTTGAGTTATGATTAATTGTGTAATCAAAGATGCATGTTTCATCCTATTTTCAACTTATCGAGTAAATGTATCCTGACCGAATTAGTAATGCTACATTGAAACTCAAGTTTATTTGTTTTCAAATTACGAATAGAATATGTTAGCCGTTCAACTATGAACTAACTTATTCAACAAGTATGAAATTATTAACAACAACGAATGTCAATGACATACTTGAAATCCTCAAAAACAAAAGAGAAGAGAAAGACCAAAGAATATATTACACTGAGAAATGGAGACAGACATGAGAAAAAATGAACAAAAATTGAATAGAACTGTGGGAAGGAAGAATCAAGACAGAATAGGATGGAGAATACTAGTCGGTAGCCTATACTCCATCGGGAGTAACAGATGTAAGTAAAGTAAAAGTGATGTAAATGACAAACCGTTACTCATTCCATCATTGATTTCTTATTAATCTATAGGATCTTTATTAATTTACAAGTGAAATTTCTCATTTCATAATGTATATCCTTAAGTGATTTTTCTTGACCGAAATGATGTTCGAATTAAAATAAAACACACACACACACACTCATTAATCTGACCAAAATCTGACATTTTTTTGTTCTACAAAGAAAAAATTACTAATCAGATATTGTTTTCACAGCATGAAAAACTTTTTTTTCCATAGTGAAACATTTTTTTTTTGAGAATAACTGACATTTGTAACCTTTTGTTAAAATTTCTATGATTATCAGTGATCAGGAAATAAAATTGAACAATGATAGATGTTTTAATCGATAAATGTTTTTTTGTTGTTGTTGCTATATATAAATATATATCACAATGATGTATCGTTTTGAATTCACTTGATATTGTTTTACTTGTATCTGCCCATTGTTGTTTAAGGCTGTAATTGATTAGTCTCTCTTGTTAGCATATATATATATATATATCCAGTGTATATTGCCTTGATATTGTATTAAGTTACAAGTTTTATAAGTAAAGATGAATAGTGAGATTAGATGGTGGTTGGAGGTAGTCGACAGGGAACCCAGGACCTAATTTTCGTGCTATTTGGTACATGTTAGCAAGGTGTACTTGTAATCCTGAGGGAACTGGTGCTCTCTGGCGGATTCGATCTCGTATCACCCAGCTTCACAATCACAGACGTTACCACTGAGCTATCTGGGCAGCGACCGACCTCATGTAGGACTTAGATGTAATCACAATTGATTGATCACTGTTCCCTCAGCTTGCTGACGAGTGCTAAGTTTCACGAAACCCGGGAGCAGCGTTTCCTGTTGACTACCTCCAACCACCATCTAATCTCAATATATAATGCACGGAGTGTCGAGTCACTTAGACTGTTGGCCACATTGCAACATGATCGATGGCATTCAATCTGCACTAAATAAGGACTTGATACACATAACATTGATCACCACCCAGTGACCAATCAATTGTAAAGATGAATAGTGACTAACAGTAGAATCCAGGACGCATGTTTCGTCCTATTTAGGACTGGTCAGCTGGATGTACCTTCATCTTTGTTTATTAAAACTTGTGACTTAATGCAACACCGGGGCGATTCTCACAGGATACACATAGATTTATAAGAGACTGATCGATCGCAGTGGTACACAACAATGACAAGTTACAAGTAAGCAATACCAAGTGAATTTAAAAAGCATGAATATTTTTGGAAGCTTGAATTTACCAAAGGAATGAAGATCAAATAAGAATATCGTTTTGGTTATGAGTTAGTCTTTATTGCAATATAACTTATGACATATTAAATAGGCTGTTTTTACAAATGCGAAAATAATATCTAAGCTGCAAAATGTTGTTCAAATTATGAGTAATCTAGAAGAATTCTATCTATTTGTGTCTTATGAGAAATCTAGGATTTTATGAAGTTGATAAGTAAATCTTAAATAAATAGTCGGTCAATCAGTCAGTAACAACTTAGAACTTCGTACGTACGTACATCAGTTTGAGTTGCCACACCACATTAGCACAGAGATGCATTTGTCGACTCAAATTCCGTAATGGTATAGGTAGTAAGAGTATAATCAGTAATCGGAAAGATTAGAGCTTGAAGTTGTTACTCAAGGCGTATAATACAGTTAAGTAAATTTGGAAAGCGAAAAAAAAGAAAGGGACATAAAGAATTCAGGTTAGAATTTGGGAAAACACAAAAAGTGGATGCACTTGCGCCATTGCAAATGATTTTGAGTCATGTCATTGAAGGTCTCTAACCATCAGTTGCTATCATCTCGCGGTCCCCAACCACGTAGTCTACACCTACCAACATGACTCAATCCACTTGTCAGTGACTTCATAGACTTGTGCCATGTTTTCGTCTGGCCGCCTCTAGCTTTCTTCCAACCTACTCCTACACCATGAAACATCACACGTCGAGGCAGTTGAAGTCTCGCTACTTCATCAATTGGTTTGTCATCTTTACCCAGTGCCCGTTTCCTAACAACTGCGTTACTTACTCGATGGTCCCAGGATATACGAATAATGCTTCGAAGACACCTATGATCGAATACTAGTAACCTACGAATATCCTCTACTCTTACCGGCCATTTTTTACTGCCATAAAGTAAGACGGAACAAACTGCTGCACAGTAAACACGTCATTTGGTTGATAGAAGGATATCTCGCCTACGCCATAAGTGACGCAAGTTGGCAAAAGCTAATCGAGCCTTCTGTATCCGTGCTGAGATTTCGTCACACACCAGACCACAAGGGCTGATGAGACTTCCAAGATAAGTGAAGCGATCGACACGCTCAATTACTTCACTTTCTATCATTAGTTCGGGTGTCTATGCCACCCAATCCTGAAGCAACACTTTGCATTTAGAGGAGGAAAATCACATCCCGAAAATGCTTGCATTGTTACTTAGGGTGGCCAGAAGACTCTGCATTTTGTCAGAGTCTTCACCAAATAGAACTATGTCATCGGCATATTCTAGGTCAAAAAGTGAATAAATAACTTATCTTTAACTAGGGAATCAGATCTAGAGATTTTGTAAGACGATAAATAATGAAAATCTGTGAATAGAACACTATACTTTATTGGAATCAAATATGTCATATTTTATCGTTAAACTCAACTAGTTGGGATATTAAAAATGCAAGTCAACTTACCAGAATCCGGTTCTTATATACATCAGAAGTCATAAGAATAACTATCAATAAATCTAACCCTCCTCTCTCTCTCTATTTAGTTATTAATATGTTTCTCAAAATTTGTTTTACATCTTCGAAACATATCGATTTTGTCTTATTTTGATTTTTAATTTTATTCTTGCATAATATATTTGATAGTTTGATTATGTAATTTCCTTTCAATCTATTTTATTCATTATTTATTATTAAACTTACCAATTAAACAAACCATTTACATTTATAATTAGTTTCAGTTCATATTCTTAATCATATATAACTAATTGTAACGACTGATTATGAAATTTCATGCAAGTTTTACGTTCAATTTTTCAGATGTCATGATACTTACTATAGTGTTGAAATTATGAATCAATATAAGCAAGATAACCAGTGAAAATCAGAAAGCACTTCACGGTCATTTCATCCTGAGGAAAATCATCCTCATTCTTGAAAGTTTAATTTCAAGACCACTGGCTAGGTATACAATGGTGCACGAATCGAAACCGATCTGAGTCAAATAATCATTAAAAGTCTGAATGCATCAGATGACTAGTTCTTCTATGTATGGGACTTCACAGTAGCGAGTATCCAAGCTGTAGGTGAGTGTAATCGTTAGACTTATATTCTGTTAGTTTGTAAGTAATTCAACGTTTTTTGAACACTATGGTTGTTCACCTTATAAAAGTATTTTAAAGACATTTTGTATATAAGTCTATCAATTTGTTACGTCAGTCAGTCAGTCAGCTACAACGGAGGACCAGGCACATATGTGCATCGGTCCAGGTTGCCATACCTCATTAGCACAACAAGATGAACACCGGATTCATAACAGTGGTTAGGTAAAAGTTGGTAATATATAAGAGAAAGATTGCATATAAGGATATAGTACAGGAAGAAAGAATTAGTTCGTAGAAAGAAAGATATGGAGCGATTTTAATCTCTTAGTATAACGGAAGACAGAGAGTGTATACACCTACGCCATTGTGATCGATTCTGAGCCATTTCACCAAGAGTCTCCAACTATTGGTTACGAAAGTCACGCGGACCCCAATCAAGTAGTCTGCATCTACCAACATGGCTCAGACCAGAAATTAGTGACTTCAAGCACTGATGCGTAAACGATACGTAGACGATTCGGTTTGTTTTTTCATTGCTTTACCTCTGTGAGTTTTTTCGAAATTTCTATCTAGAATCTTTAAATTGTTTAACATACAAATATATAAATAAACCACTGGATACTGGGTCAATGGTTCATAGGTTAGGGGTTTATGAGCGAAACTGTAGGCACTGGATTTGATTCTTGGTGATGTCATACATGTGAAGTGCTGAGAGTTTCTACAATAGAGCAAAACAATTGTTCTGTTCTTCCAAATTTTCAATGGTTGTTTAACTAAATTCATCTCATGATTTTTATTTTGAAATATAGTTACTCGAACATGTCATAGTTATTTCCTATTTAGTTCTGTTACATTGATCGTCGATGATCATCCGTCGATGAGAATACTGCTGATATTGTGATATTAGGCATGTACATTGTTTTGTCTTTACATAATCATTTCTGTTAGTCGTTGGTTGCAAACATTTGAAGTGAAAGCACGAAATTCTTCTATAATCAGTCTCCTTGATCTATTCGAAAATCAAACAATATACGTCTTACTCAACATATATATACATGCCACTTTGAGTTGATGATAATGCAATTAGTCAAGTAAATCATAGATCACTGATGAGATGACACTTAACTTTGTCATCTGACTTAAGCGCAAATGACATAGAACAAACTGTTAAATGAACATACAACTAATTTTGTTAAACTATTTAACTGAAGTTTCAAACCTTTCATTCCCAACTCTATTGGTATGGTTTATTCTTATGGTATATTTGTAACTGGTTAATTAGTTGTTAGCATACTTTTCGGTCACGTATCTTGTATCTCATAGTAATAATAATAATAATAATAATAATAATAATAATAATAATAATAATAATAATAATAATAATAATAATAATAATAATAATAATAATAATAATAATAATAATAATGGTGGTAATTTCAACATGAGTCAATTGAAGCTAGACCACTGTGGAAAACCTGTGTTGGTTAAGCGCTTGGCGAGAGACTGACAAGTCCTGGGTTCGAATCCCGTGAGGCGGGGTCGTAGATGCGCACTGCTGAGGATTCCCATATATGAACGAAACGACCTTCCAGTGCTTCCAGGTTTTCCATGGTGATCTAAATTCAGTTTATTCATGCTCCCAACTGTTGAAATTACTACAATCTCCACAAAACCCCCTCTGATAATAATAGTGGTAATAATTTACATTTCAATATTATGTCTACAGCTAAATAATTTCTACTTATTATTTATTTCAGTAGTATACAATGAACAATACTAGATAGTTAAGCAAATAGTTTACCATTTAAAACAATTTCATTTCTCAAAAGTATATTAGAAGAATTAAAGTTACAGTGAATGAATGAATGAATGAATAAATGAATACTTCCTTAATTAATATACTATGATTACGTCATTGTAGATAAGAGAAGAAGAAAAAAACAACCCAGGTAGAAACAAATGTATCTTTCATTGTCATTAATCAAAATATCACATTGTTATTTATAAAATTAATGACAATGATGAAGAAAGTATTGAATTTGAATTTGATAAAATTCAATTCAGAAAATAAGGTTTAACAATTTCACCTAATCAACAGAAGAATAGAACTTCATTGAACTAGTAATGAGATTAGAAAATATTGAATAAATTTACAAAACTCCTCTTTTGATGAATAAGAGGAACTATTCGTTTTCACTTGATATCTTTTGTAGGTAATTCCCATAATCTTCAATCATTGTATAGTAAGGACGGCCTGCTTGAGCATTTGGGCTACCTGTTCCTGCCATCTAGATATTTCAACAAGTTATCTATTTTTGTTTGTTTTAATGTATCGTTATGTCTATTAATCGCATAACCTATTCTGCTGCGTTTCTGAAAAGTGTACAACCTTTCGTTGTCAAAGTTACAAAAAACTCAATAAGAGACAATGTGGTTGTTGGCAACATACAACGAAAAGAATGCACATTATTCAGATGTTCATTTACTGGACTGTTAACATCTAACTGACGATCACTCTATATTGTACCAAAAATGTAATATTGAATAAAGCTAATAATAATAATAATAATAATAATAATAATAATGATAATAATAATAATAATAAGTTAGAACTTTAATCTACTGACCTTAGTTTAAGTAACATAGTAGATTTCTCTAATTCACATAACATTATATAACTTGAACCTAGTTAACTGATACTACATATATTCATATTTATTAATTAATTTTTAATGGTTGAAATTATGAGTCGATTGAAGCTAGACAACTATGGAAAGCCTGGACCGCCGTTTCGTCCCAGTTTGGGACTCCTCAGTAGTGCGCATTCACGATCCAGCCTCCGCGGGATTCGAACCCTTTATCCTTAGCAAGATAGTCATCAATAAGTCGTTGAATTCATTCATTGCTTAATCAATTCTTTTACTGACTATAGAGTTGATCTCAATCTAAGCTTCACTAATGAGACCTCAGAAAATTGAATTCTAATTTCAATTAGAAAAGAATTGCCTTTTCTCAAGAAGCTTGTTTGTCTTCATATGTCTGATGTATTTTACATAATCCATCACTGATTCTGGATTTAATCAATTTAATGTCAATGTTCTAAGTTTAAATTCATTAAATATTGTTCTTTTGAATATTTACCCCATCGTAAAAGCAATTGGCTATCTAGACTTAGTAACTAGATGGATAACATGATGTCGTTTCAAGCGAATAGTACTGAGTTCGATGCTTGGAGTGAACATCAACTGTGCGATTTATGCACATTCAGCTGAAGAGCTCCAGATAGAACGAAACACGCATCCTGGATTCTACTTTTAGCCATCATTCATATTTAATTGACAATGTATCATCTATTTTCAATGATATTCCATTCAACTGAATAAAAGAAAATTTCCTGCAAAAGTATTTACCTACCAAACAAAAATAATGTTTTCAATACAAATAAATGAAAATAAGCTTTTAAATGTAAGTACCTGAAGTTTATGCTGATAATGTTATTCAGAAGAACGATGAAAGCTACACAACCAAACCATCCATCTCAGTGAATTAAACTTCATCCACACGAGCTACAGATCTTTTCCACCATCTCAAATGTAAGTAATCTTCACAAAAACTTATCATTCCTAAACTTAATTTAAACGAACATTTTTTTCACTTCATCATTGATACATAAAGAAAATGAATTGAAACTAGACTGATTACTTACAAATATAAAGTTTGAAATAAACTCAAAACCCTAAGAATTAAGATGAAACTATATAAATTATTTATTATATACAAAATAATCCAGGGCATATTATTGTTTAACCATATTTGTATTCTTGTTACTTTGATAATGAAATTAATTTTTTAATATTATTCAAACCAGACAAGCATAAATATGTATAGAATGTTGTTTTGCTACTATATTCAAACGGAAATTAGTCTAAAAATTAATGTATCAATGTTCGCCTACAAATGCTCCTATACCAATGACCAAGGCAGCAAATTTGCCAAATCTATACGTATTTATCGATTCAACTCCTCCTATGGAGCCAGTTATATAGAGCGTACAATTTGGCAAGTTTGTCAACATCATCCGTCTTGGTTGAGCAAAGGACAGGTAAATATGATTGAGTGTTCTATTCTCGCTCACTTGGTTGACATAGGTTATCAAGTTGAACTCTATAAAGCTGTTAAGTTTATCTATCATATTCCATCAAATTTGACACATGGTTTACGAGTGCGTCTTTTGAACATTGCTGAAGACATCGCAATCCATGTTCACAAATCTAACCTTTGCATACGAAAGAAGTTTGGGAAAACACTTTCGCTATCTTGGCTATCAGTATAAGGGTGTTTGCAGAAGAACATTGATAAACTAAAAATTAATTATCAGAGGGCGTTTTGTGAAGATTTTAATAATTTCAATAGTTGAAATCATGAGTCATTTGAAGCTAGACCACCATGGAAAACCTGGAAGCACTGAGGAGCCCCACAATAGGACGAAACGACCGTCCAGTGCTTCCAGGTTTTATATATAAATCAATGTATCATTTATCATGTAATAGCTTTGCATGTATTGAATCATAAATCAATCTTGATTAATAATTAACGCCTATCAAAACTTAACAAGAATAAATCATGGCACTTGTATTGTTTCTTTTCGCTTTCCGTAAGTTATGTTTAAACAGCTTATAGATCTTAGGTCAAGTAATTGTATTAATGACCTATATAATTCATATTTCAATATTGGGTGTATCATGAACAAGCCTTTATTTTATATTTGTCCATTTACCAAGATAAATAATGATTTTTATCAGAACGGGGTTTGTAGAGATTTTAGTAATTTTAATAGTTAAATCCATGTGTCGATATAAGCTAGACCACCAAATTAGGACAAAATTGCCATTCAGTGCTTCCAAGTTTCTAATGGTCTAGAGGTTGAACATTTGCGTGCGAAACCGAAGCTCCTTGGTTCGAATCCCACGCACAGAATTGTGGATGCGGGTCGCTGAGAAGTCTCATACTAGAAAGAAACGGTCATCAAACAGTGTTTCCAAGTTTTCAATGTTGATCTAGCTTTAATTGACTCATGAATTCAACAAATAGTTTAACATTTAGTGTAACAGTGAGAAATATCTTTCAAAATACTTCAAATTTGATAGGGTCAAGAAAAAAAAGGGATAACACAATTCATTGTTAATTTATTTCTTTTTTACTAAGTAAGTTGAAAAATCAAGAATTTACTATTGACCTGTAGTTGTTATCTGATACAAATTTTACTTATAGAAAATAACACAAATATAAATTGATTGAGGTCAGGCTTTTATTCAGTTGGTACAAGTATTTATAAATGGTTGTCTATGCAAGATACTCAACATTTATTAACCAGTTACTATCAGTAACAGCCTTCTGTGGGAGAGAGCAAACCAACTTCCAGTTGAAGAGGAAATTAAGAAAAGACGATGGAAATGGATAGGACATACATTACACAACTCATCAAACTGCATTACGAGACAAGCCCTAACTTGGAATCCTTAAGAGAACAGGAAAAGTGGAAGACTAAAGAACACATTACGTCGGGAAATAGAATCAGATATGCAAAGGATGAATTGAAACTGGAAGGAGCTCGAAAGGACTGTCGAGGACAGGGTTAGATGCAGAATGCTGGTGGTGTGCCTACCCTCCTTCACGAGTAGTAATAGGTGTAAGTAAGTAAGTAAGTAATTAACGTGGGGTTCTTTTTTATTTTATTTATCCTTTTATTTCGATATACATGGATTACACATACTGTGTTAATCTATTACAGTATTGGTTTCATATGAGAAACATCTTGGGTTATTAATAAATGAAAGGATCCCGGGTTCGAATCTTGTGAGTGGGATCGTGGATACTCACTGCTGAGGAGTCTTATACTAGGATAAAATGGCTGCCAAATAGTGCTTCCAGGTTTTTCATGGTGATCTAGTAGATAGAGAACCTTCTTAACCCAGGTTTATGACTAAATTCCTGTTGGACTGAGATATTTACAATTGACTGAGCACTAAGTAGTCTCGAATTTCATGTTTGTCCAACACTTTGAATGTTATTCGAATTCTGTTGATTAAGTTTCAATTTGGTCACCTATCTCAATTGCATGAACTATGTCGTATGTTACGGAAAAACGAATTTCAACAACCAGGGCGAATGTTAGAGACATTTAAGAGCGTTTTTTGTTGCTTTTAGTTATATTCACAATTTTAGAATCCAAACCTCTTATTTTTTCAATTGTCTTTCTACTCACATAAAGCTATTTTTACGCTGAATGATTCCATTGTTTTACATATGTAAAAGTAATGATAGCAAGGATGGTTGATTATATTAAGAGTTTAATGAATGATTGATTTTTAAATGAGAACCTAAATAGACAAATGAATGATAAACACAACGAATGAGTAATTTTACAAGT